TATAAATCGTCGCTTGGTTTGGCAGCGCCGCGCTGGCTGCACCGCGCTGCACTGGGCGAGGCGGCGAGTCGCTGACCCTTTCAGGGCCGCGTGCTGCACCAGGCTGCACCGAGCCCTCAAAGGCCCTTCGGCTCTTCGCCTCTCCCAGCCCGCCGTCTCCTCCCTAGCCCTTCGCTCCATCCTGGCTATCCGCCTCTTCAGCATTTCGCATTCTTCCTGGCCCGTCGCCTCCCTTAGACCGTCGCCTTATCTTCTTCCTGGACCTTCACCTCTCCTGGACCCTTCGCCTTCCTCCTAGAGCCCTTTGCCTTCTTCTTAGCCCTATGCCTTCATCTTAGCCCTTTGCCTCACTCCTAGCCCTTTGCCTTTATCCTGGTCCTTTGCCTTCCTGCTAGTCCTTTGCCTTCCTCCAAGCCCTTTTCCTTCCTCCTAGTCCTTCGGCCTTCCCCCGCCCTTCGCCTCCTCCGAGCGCGCACGCGGCTGTGGCCCTAAGGGCATGCGAAGGGAAGGATGATTGATGCCACACGGCCGGCCCCCTCCCCCCCCCCCCTCAGCCCCCGCACGCCGCCCACAGCCCCCTCCCCTTCCCCCCGCGGCTCGCCGGAGAGGAACTCATTGTCGTGTTGCGCAAGCAGGGCCGCGGCCGGGATGCGCCGTGACAGCCCCGCCCCGCGCCCTCATCGAGCAGCTCCACTTTTTCACACACGCGCGCGAGCCGAGCCGGCCGGCCGGCGCACTGGAAGACTGCAGTGCAGTGGGAACGCCAGGGAGCCCCGAACCGCCCGCCGCGACGCCACTGGAAATCATTAAAACGTCAGCCGGGCCCCGCACTGACGGACGCCGAACAGCGTTCCGTCACTCCGTCTCTCTCTCTCTCTCTCTCTCTCTCTCTCTCTCTCTCTCTCTCTCTCTCTCTCTCTCTCTCTCTCTCTCTCTCTCTCTCTCTCTCTCTCTCTCTCTCTCTGCGGGCACTGTTCGGAGCCAGCGCGCCGGCCGCGGCTGGAAGCCACGCGGGCGAGGGCCGAATGCCATAAACACATTATTCATGGAACAAGAGCGCGGGCGCGGGGCAGGCGCGCCCGGATTGGCCGAGAGACGCGCGGCGGCGGTGCGGCCGTCCATCCAGAACGTCGACGCTTCCCTCGCGAAGCTAGCTGCCGCGGCCACACCGTCGCGGACGTCGACGAGTCCCTCACCGTCGCGGACGTCGACGAGTCCCTAACCGTCGAGGACGTCGACGAGTCCCTCACCGTCGAGGACGTCGACAGCCCTACGGCGCGCGACGAGTCCCACCCACGAGGCCGACGATCCCCCGAGGGCATCGCGACGAGCGGCGCGCTCCGAATCAGAAAACACTAGCCAACGGCGCCGCAGCCCCTTTCCCACGCGGCCAGATGATCGCCGCGAGGGCAGAGCTGGGCAGAGCTGCCGGCCGGCGGAGCATTCACACATCCTTCACGGGGAAGTGACCGCAGGCCGGGAAGCCAGCGAAGCTAGGGAAGCTAATCCCGCTGGCAGGCGGGGCACGCGGGGCGGGGCGCGGCCCTGAACTTGCCATTGGCACGGGCCAGCCCGCCAGCGCGGCCACCGGTCCGCCCACGCCACGCCTCGCGCCACCCACACAGGCGTGGCCGCTACGCACTCCGCCTTTTCGCTTTTCGGACATTTTCACCGGCGGCAGTGTTGCCACGTGTAAATAGGTAAAGCATTCTTGCTGAGGCGGCAGCGTAGTAGGCAGAGCAGTGTACAGTGGGCCAGAAGACCGGCGGAGGCGGCCTTAATCCTAGACGCGATTTGAGCTCCAGAGTCTCTAAATCAATACTCGAACCGAACGTGTGACCCCACCAATGGATTGCTCGCCGAACGAGGAATCCGTTGGTGGCGTCACACGTTCGGTTCGAGTCCTGTTTAGCGATTCTGGGGATCAAAATGCGTCTAGAGTTTCGGCGGCCGGCGCGGCGCCGGTCTTTTGTTTCGCCGTGCAGTCCCAGCAACAGGCCTTGCCGTAGCCGCAGCCGACACTTTGTCACCCAAGCAGGTTTTCCCTTTCAACACACAATACATGCATCGAGAGAATTTCGGAGGTATTTCTAGGGATTCGCGTGGCAGCACTGTCGGCGTTCGGCGGCCGGCTAGAGCCCAGCCCCTTGCTGGCGGCGGGTAGGCAGTCCCGCCGCACACGTCGCCGTGGCGGGCGGCCTATGCGCGCCTGCCGCGGAGCGGAGCGCGGAGCGCCCGGGGCGTGAGAGTGAGAGAGACAGAGCAGCGGCCCGTGCGGACCGCTCCATGCAAACCGCGACGCGTCGTGCCGGCAGGCGGGCATTACAACGGGTCTGCGCATGCATCATTGGCCGCGGCACGGACGAGCACACACACACAGACACACACACTTACACAGACACAGACACACACACTCGCACACACAGTGCAGCGCGGCGCACGAGCGCACCGCGCCACCGGGCCGCCGCCTGCAGGTCCAAGGGCCGGCCATCCTGCAGGCGGGCGGTGCCAGGCGGCGCGGCGTCGCGGCCCAAGACGAAGAGGGACCCCGCTGCGTCGCTGCGGCGTGTATTTAGAACAACGCCAACAGAAGCGTAGCCAGCAGACTGATTCCGAAAGTCGTGTTCGCCGCTCTGCGTCTCTCTCGCACTCACGGGGTGTCCCCTGTAGGTGCGCGAGAGAGACAGAGCGACGAAGACGACTCCCGGAATCAGTCTGCATGCAGAGCCGGAACGCAAATGTACTGGACGTCGAGAATCACAAAGGCGGAACGGAGTATAATGAGAATTTAGTGGTGCGGTAGCGCTACGCCGACGCAGGCGGTTGTGCCGCTCGCAAAATTCGCACGTGATTCTTGATCTCCTCTCCACTTCCGCGCCTTGTCCGCCCCTGGCCTGCCGGAGGGAGGGTGGGGGAGGAGGAAGGGGAGGAGGGGAGGGGGGGAGGGGGGGAGGAGGAAGGGCTCACGATACGATGCACCGCCGAACCGCGTTCCCGCCACAGCCTTGAACCCGCGGACCCTTCCCCAAGTCACGACCGCGTTTTGTCTCTGAGGCGCCCCGTCGGGACTCCAGCCGCGGCGTGGCGCGCCTCGTTGCCTGGCTCAACTCGGTGTCGCGCTGCCCTGCTCGTCCACGCCGCGCCACGCCGCCAGCGCGGCGAGGGGCATCGTGCCGGAGCCGCCGAGTCGCGGTGCAGTGGCCCGGAACGCCCGGAACGCCCGGAACGCCCGGACTAGCCTCGCACGCTCTGCATGCAGGGCGTGGCGCGGCGTGGCGAGGCGTGGCGTGCCGGAACAAGGCTGCTGACCTCCGGCCTTCGGCGCGGCGCGTCCTGCAGACGGATTCCGAACAGTGCTCTCGTCGGCCTGTCTCTCTCGCACCCTTGCGGGACGCCCCATGAGTGCGAGAGAGAGAGAGACCTCCCGCTCGGAATCGGTCTGCTGTTCACGCCGCCAGAGCTCCGCGATGCACCTCGGCGTCGAGGCCCCGCGGGGCGGGGCGGGGCGGGGGGCGGGGCGGCAGGCCGGGGCGGGCCGGGGCCGGCCAGCCCGCCCCCGCGCCGCGCGTGACGCTCGTGCTCGAGTCGCCTTTTTGCCCCTCTGCTTTTTTGGGGCGCGGCGGCATGGCGGCGGCATGGCGGCGTGATGGTCGGGGCGGCCAGTGAGTGGCCATAACCCCGGCCGAGCCGCCAAGCCCCTTCCCGCGACGGGGCGTCCCGTCCGCCGTGCCGCGGCCACCGCGGCGCGCTTACACAAGTCGGAAGGCCCCCGCACCGCGCCGCACCCGCCGGCCGGGCCGGGCACGACGCGGCGCGGCGTGGATCCTCTCCGCCCGCAGGCCGCAGGCCAAGTCGCAGGCACACCGCGGTCCTGGAGTCCTGGAACTGGGACACTGAGGTAATTGTCGCATCACGACGCGCCCCGCGGAGCCCCGCCCGCAACGGTCCGCGGCGGCCGCGCGCAGCCACACGTCGCCGCCAGCCGAGAGTCGTCGCTCTGTCTCTCTCGCACTCATGGGGCGTGCCGCACAGGTGCGAGAGAGACAGTCCGCGCGTGGGCGTCGCCACGCCGAAGTGCGGCGGCGGTGCAGTATCCCCGCCAAGGCCGACGCGGCCGACGCGGCCGACGCCGACGGGGCGAGGCAGACGGAAGCCCCGAAGGGTTTCACGCCGCCTGCACTAGCAGTGCGGTGTCCAGCCCGTCCAGCCCGGCGGGTCATTAGTGTCATAACAGACCCCCGAACGTTTCCCCGCGCTTCTTCTGTTTGCTTTTTCCCTTCATCTCGCTCTGAATGGGGCTTCGGTTTTTGTAATCAACTCCCCCCGACGGCCCGACGGCCTGACGGGCGGCTCGGAGCGACTCCGGTGTCTTCTCCTAACGAGTGCCGCGGCGCTGCACCGGGCGGTTTTTGTTTCGTGCTCCGTTTTTGCTTTCAAGGACGGGCGAGTTATAACCAGGCGGCGGCGCGCTGCGTTCGGCCGCCGACCTGCCCGTCGAACTCCCGCGCAGCGCAAGGCGGGGGCTAGCGCGGTGTGCGAATGCTTAGAATCCGAATCGAATCGAATCAAGTCTCATTCGATTCGACTCAAAAATTTTAAAAAGTGCAAAATTTCCAAATTGAATTATAATGGACCAAACAAGCAAAAAAAGTGGCAATTTTACCACTCTTTACACATAAATATTTTCACTGGTAAAACTAAATCGTACACTCTCAGATTCGTACTGAGTTTTTGTTAAATAATTTTTTGTTTGTTTCACAAACATTATCATCGATTTCGTCTGTCTTAACAAATTCTTAACAAAACCCAATTAATGCGCACAAACGTCGATGAATATTGATAAAATGTCGATTGAAGGATGATGCTGTGGTTCAACGCTTAAAAGCCTAACGCCCTTCGTGAATCGAATCGAACTAGTTCAGAATTTTCCAACATTCGATTCGAGATTGAAGAAGGCCGCCTCGGACACCACTGCAACAGGGACGCTGGCAGAGACTCACGTGTTTTTCACGAACAGTGTGGATCAGTCGGTATCCCAGGCGGCGGCGACAATCCAAGTGGTGATAAGGTGGAATCCACACAGCATGTTCCTCGGCCGTTCCCTCGCACTCACACTCCCCTCGACACTGCACTGGTCCGCCCTATCCACGGGGGCGTCGTCACACACACTCGCAACCACCACACTCGCGGGATCGGATCACTGAGTCGGCACTTCTCGTCACAGAAGGCAGGACCGTCACGCTGGCCGCGGTCGCGGTGTGACGGTGTGTCACGGAGTGTCACGGTGGGACTGTCCCACGGCTCGCACGCCTCGGTCTCGCGACGAGAGACCGATCGGAGCCGGCGGGGCGCAGTCCGGGAACAGACACGGACACGACACTGGCAGGCAGACTCGACGCGCCGCGGCGGCCGCTGGCTTCAGACTGGCTGGAGTCGATGGGCAGCGCCGCGGCGCCCCACCCCGCCCTGCCCCGCCCCGCCGCGCCCCGCCGCGCCCCGCCGCGCCCCGCCGTGCTTGTTTTCTCTCCGTCCTGCTCGCCCCCACAGCGCCGCGCAGTCCGCCGCACGGCCGTCCTCGTCCCACCCGCTGCCGCTGCCGCCGCCTCGTAGTTCCGCACCTCGCCGCGCCGTCTTGCAGGGCGCGCCACCTTCTAACGCGGAGGACTGGGTCGCTTCGCTCAGCCTCGCTTGGCTTCGTTCGGTCGGTCCCATGTCGCCGTGCCGCAAGGGGGACGAAGGACGACACAAAATGTCCCCGGTTGCGCCACTTGTCTGTTCCGCGATGGGCCCAGTAGACTAATTCGTTTCCGTCGCTGTGTCCCTCTCGCACTCGTTGGCGGCCCGTGTGGGTACCAGAGAAACAGCTACGAGACGAAAACTAAGGGAGGGTGGGGCACCTAGTGTCACTTTTTGGATTTTGGCACTCACCCCGATACTGTGCGAGAAATGAATCTGCTTACACTTCAGAAGGTTGCTTTGATCCTTCCTTGATCGCAAAAACATGTTGTGGCGTTTCGACAACACCTATTTCTATTATTTACATAGCTTCCCGCAGACCTCTGCACTTGTCACTTGGTGCCCCAGCCCGGGGCACCTAGTGACAGGTCATATAACTCACATTACCAGCATAGAGCGACGCTCCAGCTAATTGAAAATTATCCGTTTTAGGCTCTTTAAGCTTTTCTAATATCAAACCATTCTGAACGGCGCCATTTTTTCCCAAGAAACTGCATTTTACTACATTGCCAATCAAGTTCAATGTTCTACGAAATTGTCGTACAAATTAGTCTCATTTATGTTTCGTTGTGTGACAATCGGTGACAATGAGCCATTCCCCTCCTACAGAAGCAAGATGGCGGCGGGTGGCGGAGCGTAGCGGCGACCCAAAACAAAGCAGAAGACGCGTCCACTTTTCCGACGCGTTGCTCGTGCAGCTGGTCATTCAGGCTTCTTTAGAGCAGGTTCTATAGATATCGTGGTATTTGATCATGGTTTTTCATTTCCATAGTCATTTTCTTAGCTCGAAACGGTGCATTATTTTGGGTCGCCACTACGCTCCGCCACCCGCGGCCATCTTGCTTCTGTAGGAGGGGAATGGCTCATTTACTTCACGGTTACCAAATCGATGTTTTGAAACGTTTAAATCGTTGAAATACGGTAAATAGAGTGTGTCTGTCACTACCTGCCCCGGGGGCTCTTTTTCGTTTACAATTTGATATCAAGGAAATGAAAACACATGTTTGAGCTGGTTCAGCGAAAACAACATCCTAAGGGCCCTTATTATTGATTAAAAGTGCCAGAACGATCAGCAGTGCCGTTTACTGAAAGAATGGCGAGAAAACATTTTGTGAAAAAGTCGTAAAATCTGTGATTTTGGGTAATTATTTTCTTTGTTTTATTCTAGGTGCTAAAATATTTTGTTCAAAGTCTCACTCTCAATTGAACATGATTCCACAGCACAAGACCTTTAGATTAGCCACCTCAAGATGTCTAAAAGTGCCATAGGGTGGCCAGGGCACCCCTGTGTCACTAGGTGCCCCTGTCACGAGGTGCCCCACCCTCCCTTACTCCCTGAATTAGTCTGCTGAAGAGGAGGGCCAGGCAAGTGGCCTACCTAAACGCCTCTCTGCACAACCTACGGCCTTCCTCCGTCGTTTTCTTCCTTCCGCTTGGGTCGTTCTTCATCCTTACCCAAACATAGTTCAAACTGAGACTCACGCATACGCGAGTCTCACTAAAGAACCAGGGGAAATAGAGAAGTGTGGAAACGGAAGATAGCCGACATTTCCTGTCAAATCTTTCCTATGTCAACAACGACAACAAAAACAACGGCAACAACAACAACATACGACCTGGCCAGCTTAGGCCGTTCACACGGGCGGAATGGCGCCGAAAAGCAAGAGCGCGCTCCGCTGCGCCGCCTGGCCGCTACCGCCGCTACCGCGCACGCGCGCCGCGCGGCTAGTTCCGAAATGGCACTTATCAGCAAATCAGAGCGTTGTGATGCGCAGTAAGTAAAGGCAGCTGGCCGCGGCCCGTGACGGCCCGGGCCTGGTGGAGGGCCTCGGTGCCGCCCAGCACACTGATTCCGAAAGTCGTTTTCATCGCTGTCTCTCTCGCACCTACACGGGACGCCCCATGAGTGCGAGAGAGACAGAGCGACGAAAGCCGTGCTCGGAATCAACCTGCCGCGCGGCCGCGCGTCCCACAAAGGCCTCGGCTGGGCTCGCTCCGCTCGGCTCGCGTGATGCGCTGGTCACGGTTGACGACCCCCAGGCCGGGCCCTGCGGACGTTCTCGTCGCTCAGTCTCTCTCGCACTCATGGCGCGTCCCGTAAGGGTGCGAGAGAGACAGAGCGACGAAAACGACTCTCGGAATCAGCCCGCAGGCCTCCCACACCGCGTTCATCACGTCGAAAACGTTACTCGGCCCGACGCGGCCTCCGAAATGGAAGAGTGGTGGCATGGGTGCAGGAAATGCTCTTGGGTGGAAGATATGCTCTTGGGTGGAAGTAGAAGTGCTCTTAGGCGGACAAAATGCTCTTCGACGGAAGAAATGTTTTCGGGCGTAGGAGGAAATGCTCTCGGACGGAAGAAATGCTCTTGGCAGGGAAACACTCGCAACGCGACGCTGCGAACTTCTGCCTCGACACGCACGAGCTTGCCTGCCGACGCGGCGGCACCATCCTCACCGAGCGGCGAGCGCACGGCCACCTGTTGCGCCGAGAGAGGCAGCGGCCCGCCACGCCCGGATGCGTGAAGGGCTGCCTGCCTCCACGGCGGCGCTGAACGCGACGCGTCTGAATGGTTGCCTACCTACACGGCGGCACAGGTCAACGGCCTCAACGCCTGCCTACCTATACGGCGCACGCCGCGTTCGAAGGGCTGCCTACCTGCACGGCGCTGCTGGGCGCCATGCGGCGCGAAGTGGTCTGCCCAGGGTGTTCCCCTGGAGGCGGCAAATAGTAGGCGAAAAGTCGCACTTTTGACCCTGTCAGTGGGCTGCTGTCGCTGCATCCATCCTCCCTGAACGTCCCTGGATCCGCCCTGGCACTGCACTCGCTGCACTCACCTGTGCTCGCAGCACGAACTGCAGCCGCTGCGGTCGCAGCTGCTGTCGCTGCATCCGCTGCTGCAGGAGGCGACGCTGTCGTCCGGGTCCAGCAGCGGCTTGCTCCCCATCCGCGTCATCCGCGCCGCCTGCAGGGCGAAGGGCGTCAGCAGACTCATTCCGAGAGTCGTGTTCGTCGCTCTGTCTCTCCCGCGCCCATAAAAGACGCCTCCTAAGTGCGAGAGAGACAGAGTGACGAGAACGACTCTGCGGGCGGGCGGCGGCGGGCCGGCTGTTCCTCTCGCGCCGCCCATACGGTACGCCTCACGGGTGCGAGAGAGACAAAGAGATTAGAGACCTCCGGTTTGGCGGGCGGTCAATCTCTCCCGACTGCAGTCATGACTTTCCGACGTGAGCTCACCGGCGGCTGGTAGGGCAGGTCGAGCTGCATCTCCACGTCGGTGAGGGCGTCCTCGGTGAGCGAGCGCAGACTGCGCGCGTCCCACACCCTGCGCGTAGCGCGGCCGTCGCGGTGGCCGTGGCCAAGGCCGTGGCCGTGCACGGCGCCGGGGACGGCGTGGAGGCTGTGCTGCGACCGGGCCGCCGCCAGGCCGTAGCCGTACGCGCTGTAGGGGCTGTAGGGGCTGTAGGCGTAGTCCTCATAGCCGTAGGCGTAGCCGTGGCGGGTGTCGTGGCTGTCGCAGCGCCGCAGTCCACCCTCCTGCTGCACCCTGCAATGCATTCGGATCGGACTCACCTCCTTCATCTCCTTGTCGCTGTGACATTTATACGTTCATTCATTCAATCATTCACTGCCTCATGCGTTCATCATTCATTTGCTCATACATTCATTCAATAATTTACTTTTGGTCATGCATTCATTCAATCATTCACTTGCTCGTTCATTCAATCATTCACTTGCTCGTTCATTCAATCATTCACTTGCTCGTTCATTCAATCATTCACTTGCTCATGCATTCACTCAATCATTCACTCGCTCATGAATTCATTCAATACTGCACTTGCTCTCGACGTTCTCCGCCGGTGCCACCAACCTGCTATGCTGGCCTGCGCTGAAGGTGACGCTCCTGGCCACCTCCTTGCGCTGCTTGTAGTGGCGCTGCTTCTGCTGCGCCTGGTCGGCCTGGTCGGCCTGGTCCTCGCCGTGCGCGTTGCCGCTGCCGCCCTTCCTCGTCGCCGAGGCCGTGGCGGCCGTGGCGTCGGCCGGCCGCTTGCGCCGCAGGGTGTCCCTGGTGAGGGTGCCCAGCTCGTCCACGCTGCCGCGCACCTGGCGAGGAGCGAGAGAGAGCGAGGACGCGGTCAGCGGGCCGCATGCATTTCGATCAACACAACAAGTGCTTCGCCGCTGCGTCTCTCTCGCTCGCTTGCACTCTTGGCGCACGTCGCCGTTTTAAGCAGCAGAGACAGACGGAACGGCGAAACGCTCTGCAGCCGTTTGATTCCGATTAGTGCTCTCGTCGCTCTGTCTCTCTCGCGCACCAACGGGACGCTCCGTGGGTGCGAGAGAGACGGAGCAACGCGAGCGCTGTTGGGAATCGAACGGCTGCGTGGGCGAGAGCGATTCTCCCCCGGGGCGTCGGCAAAGCCTGGCCTAAGCTCTGGCCCGGATGAAGAAGAGTTGCGGAAGTCAGAAATGACAGTTTCTATGAGAAATATACCTTGCGCATGGGGTCTGGAGCTCATCCGCAACGTACACTTCTCGTGGAAACTGCAATTCTGACTTTTCTTTTCACTCTTCTTCCGGGCTGAGCGCTCACCTGGCTCCACCCGCGCTGCACGACGCACAGCAGCTCCAGCAGGCTGTTGGTGCGCACGGAGCGGCCCGCGTTCGCGCTGCCGC